CTGAGTCAATGAACGAATAAGCATCTCAGCACTAGCAGGGGTCTCCACACGGCTGCTCCAGCACCCAGGGCTGCATCGGGATAGGTCCATGTAGCTTCTCCTTGGGGATGTCTTGTATGAAGTCAATCTTGCAAGCTGAAGCAGGGAACTGCTAAGGCAGCTGCACCCGGTGCAACTATCACAAAACAAGAGACCCGAGAACCAGAAAGGCAAAGCTCACCACCCATTTATCCCTCCGCCTTTCAATTAGCCCCACATGTGATTATCGGCCAGGTTGACACAATTAACTAACTCACACACCAACACCAGTGAAATACACATTCAGCAACACCGCCATGTCTCAAAGACAAATAAGGTCAGCTCACATGAAGGCGGAATGGCTCAAACAAGTGACGGACATGTAGAGCCAGAAAGCATTTTGAAGAAGAAGTGACTTTTCAACTACCTGATAAAAAGTTTAAAACATGATGTTTAAGTATCTTCAATGGATTTTGAGAGAGATTATGAAAGCAACAGTTTTTAGGCTGGTATAGGGGCCATGGAGTTGCTAAGAGTCAGAACCAATTTTCCATCACTTAACAACAGCAGCAAGGTGTTGTATTCCGGGTGCTGTAAAGGGTTAACAAACATGGCTGCCAGCCAAAAAGTTAGATGTTTGAGTCTACCCAGAGATGCCTCAGAAGAAAAACCTGATATTCTCCTCATGAAAAATCAGCCATTCTATCAAAAGATATAGCACCTGGGGTCTTAAAGGCTTGAAGATAAACAAGCGGCCATCTAGCTCAGAAGCAACAAAGCCCACACGGAAGAAGCACACCAGCCTGTGTGACCACGAGGTGTGGAAAGGATCAGGTATCAGGCATCAAAGAACAAAAAATCAAATCATTGTGAATGAGGGGGAGTGCAGATTGGGGACCCAAGACCCAACTGTAGGCAACTGGACATCCCCTTACAGAAGGGTTGCGGGGAGGAAACCAGCCAGTCAGGGTGCAGTGTAGCAAGATGTAGAAACATACAACGTTCCTCTAGCTCTTCAATGCTTCATCCCCCCACTATCATGATCCCAATTCTACCTTATAAACATGGCTAGACCAGAGCATGTACACTGGTACAGATAAGAACTGGAAACACATGGAATCCAGGACAGATAAACCCATCAGGACCAGTAATGAGAGTAGTAATACCAAGAGGGTAAGGGCAAGGTGGGGTAGAAAGGGAGAACCAATTACAAGGATCTACATATAACCCCCTCCCTGGGGGATGGACAACAGAAAAGTGGGTGAAGGGAGACATCAGTCAGTGCAAGACATGACAAAATAAGAATAATTTATAAATTATCAAGGGTTCATGAGAGAGGGTGGGGACAGGGAGGGAATAAAATGAGGAGCTGGCATCAAGGGCTGAAGAAAAGCAACTGTTTTGAGAATGATGATGACAACAAATGTACAAATGTGTTTGACACAATGGATGTACATATGGATTGTGGTAAGAGTTGTACGAGCCCCCAATAAAATGATTTTAAGAAAAGAAAAATCAGTCATTACAAACCCAGTAAAGCCTAGTTGCAATCAGCCCCACATGAGACAATCATGAGCCAGAGTCATGGAATAGCTGAAGATGGCAACTGGGTTTTGATGGTGTCCAAACCCTACAGCGCCTGGGTTTCTCTTGAAATACCTATCAATCTTCTTTTCATAGTCCCTGAGTGAAGCCATTTTACTTATAGGGTTGTCGTGTTTTCCCAAAGCTTTTTATGGAAAATAATATTATTTATGTCTCCAAGTTACAAATGAAAAAGTAAACCTTGTTTCCAATTAGGATGATGAAATATGAGCATAATAATGAATGTCAGTGAATTATATATGCTGAAAGGTTGGAACGAAATTATTGAAATAATTGTGTTGTTAAGTATATGCATATATTTCATCATACTTTTTAAAACTGTGCTGAATTTCTCTAGAGTAAACCCTTAAGTTAAATTTACAAACATCCCTTCAGGCAAACTTCTATTAAGGAACCCAGTAAACAAGTTCCCAATAATTGAAATTATATTCATTTTAATATCTGTGAGATTTTTTATACACCAAAATTCTGGATAAGCAAGCTATTTCTGTATATGTTTAATTAAATAATGACAACATTTATATTCTAACGTCAAATGTTCTATTACAGTGAGATCCATTAGTTTCAGATTTCTTCCATCTGTTATATTCCATGACTCGATGTGTAATATATAGTTTAGTAGTAGATACAACTTTAAAGTGATGCAAATAATACAATAAACCCTCACTTTTCAAAAGACAAAACTCCTAGCAACTTGGGCCATGATGATAGCAAACATCTATGGTGCTTTCTATTATGTCGGGCCCTACACTAGGCATTTGATTAACTTGTGTAAACATTCAACCCTTTTGGAGGTGTGTTCTCTTCTTATCCCCATTTTACAGATGATGAAGCCCAGATACAGGCAGGTTAAATGACGTTTCCAAGTTCATGCAGTTAATAAATGGTAGGGGTGGAGTGACTATTTGGCTCTAGGTTTCAAGCTCTTTAAAGAGCCCTTGGTGACACCATGGAATAAGAATTGGGCTTCCAGCCAGAAGACTGCTGGTCCAAACCCACCAGATAGTCTGCAGGAGAGAGATGATGCTATAAAAGTTTAGAGTCTCCGAAACCCTTTAGAGGCTCTTTATGAGTCAGAGTTGACTAGAAGTCAGTAGGTTTAGTGGATTTGGTTTCCAGCTCTTGCCACTGACTTGTGCTGTTCCTTTAGTGGAAAAGTGAATGAGTCCCCAACAACTGAGCAGTGAAAATGTAAGTAGTGGTAGTAGATGTGAACAGAAGACCTGGATCAAAATAGCAACCGTGTTTAGATTAGATGCATATAGAATCCTTAAACATTTGAATCACTATATATTGTAAAATATAGCCAACCAATGCTAATACATACTGGACTTTAGCTTATGTTGAAATAAACATATGTTTAATGCAAACTGCTTGAAAAGCATGCTGGTGTACCACAACAAGGCTTGACACCTATTTATGCTTCAATGTACTATATTATACTTTTCTTGTTTTATTGTTATTTTGGACAGCCTGATTCTATTTTAGTTCTTGTAAAATAAAATTGGACTATATGCTTTTTAAAAAGAAGAAAAACTTAACAATGTTTCTAAAACTAATTTTTCTGCCAGCATTACAAATTATAGCTAGAAAAATCAACCAAACTCAATGCCATTGAGTCAATACTCACTCAAAGACCATGTAGAAGAGCACAGACCTGCCCCTGCGAGTTTCCAAGACGGTGATTCTTTACGGGAATAGAATGCCCCATCTTTCTCCCACGGGGCAGGGAGTAGTTTTGAACTGCTGACCTTTAGGTTACCAGCCCAATGCGTAACCACTATGCTACCAGCTAAAGCATAGACATGAAATAAAGCAAGGAGCCCTGAAATTTTACCAAACACCTTCCTATGCAAAAAAGAAATTAAAATTGTTGTCTGGTCAATTTCAACTTGTAGCAACACTATGCTGAAATAAATGACACAGAGGAAAATACCACTAAATCGGTCCTGGGCTTTAAAATAAATAAATAAATTAGATCTACTTTACATAATGTTGTTTAAATAAGACTAATACCTTTGAATTTCTTTTGTTTGTTTTCTACATAGTATACCTCATTTTTTGCATTTAATCATCACCTCGAGTCTATGATGGGCAAGGCATATATCTACAGGTAAAGTAGAACCCGGTACTGTGGGGGGCTGAGAATGAGAGAAGAAGCAAAAGTTAGCATTTTTAGAAAACGTTTTGGAGACGTGGCATGGCTTTTTCAAGAAAAATGGAAAATTTTAGAATTGGGGGGGGTGCTATATAAAACACAGGTTTGTGTCCTAAAATTGATTGGGAAACTTGTTTTAATCATAATAGTTTGTGTATGAGTGAGGGTTTGCACAGCATTTTCGGTCCTCATTCAACAGTCTCCAGACAAATTCTTCAATGACATTACTTACGTTCTTCACAAAGCATGAACATTCTCATTATTTCCATTCTGGTCATTCCGCTTCAATGGATCTACTTTCTCTGTCCTCTGCCTTTCTCACTGTGGAAAGACATCCTCCTTTGGTGAGAGAGAACGGGATCGTAAAAGCTCATGAGCAGCCTCCTGAAGTGCAACTACTGGTCTTGCCCATCCAAAGAAAAGGGACGTGATGAAAATCAAGTGACATATGGAAGCAATTGGTGCAGTCAAATAGTGCACCCTGCAGACATCAGTCTCCACAAACTTGACACCAAAAGAACAAGATGATGCCTGGCTTCCTCTCCCGAGCGCTCTGAAAGAGATCATATTAGAAGGAATTGCATAGAGTTGGAGAAACTTATGGAAAAACTCAAAATCATAAAATTAATCAGGCTTGCTGGTTGGGTACAGGCTGGTGGGACCCCTAAGACTACGGCCGTTAATCACCTCTCATGTGTGGAGATGAACTCACCCCCGGGTTAGAATAACCAACCATCCAAGGACAAACTTCAGAGGATTCAAAAGAGGGAGGGATGGAAACAGAGAACAAAAAAAAGTTCAGTAAGTGATGGTATAGGGAGGGAATTGCAATAGAGGAATGAGACAAAATGTGTATGAATTGTTGAGTGTAAAATAGATGATCTGCTCTGTAACCCTTTACCTAATTCACCATTTTTAAAGTTTTAAAATAAGTACTTGCCTACCATACAGTCTCATATCACTCACTCACTGCTGTCTAATTGATTCTGGCTCATAGTGACCAGACAGGACAGAGTACAACTGCCTCGGTGGGTTTTTGAGACTGTAACTCTTTATGGGAGTAAAAAATCTCATCTTTCTCCTACAGGTGATGTTTAAAAGAAATACATCCATTAATTATGGATGATAGCCATTATTTTGTGAGCCAATCTATTCTTTAGCTACAAGGTGGCCTCGAGGGTTCATTTCATTTCAAGGTTTGGAGAGCATCTCAAAGCAATTGTCTCACAGAGCCCTCCAGTCTCGACTCGGCTAATGAGTCCGTTTTCATTTCTGTTTTTTAATTGTTGTTATTGGGACTTTGATAGCATTTTGTTGCTGTTGTGTTGTCTCAGTTTGAATTTTTAGGAGCCTGACTTTCTGATCCACATCTTTCTCCCATGCTACCAGGGCCCATCTACTATGGCCCTGATTGGAATGGCCAGTGGTGGTAGACAGACACCATCTATTCTTCAAGTCTCCAGGCTGAGGCAGAATATTTGTTCTGTAAATTCGTTTTTTCTTTGAGACTTTCACGTCCTTCTTTCTTTTTTGCTCCAAAGGGTAGAGACCAATCATTATAGATATGGATGCTTTTAAAGTGAAATAAAAATACGAAAGTCTCGAGATTTAGATGATACAGAGCTGAAATAATAATAATCAAGCTTACTGCCTATTTCAGTCAGAGCCAGTGGAGAAGCACGTCCTTCTACAAGTTGACTTTACTCTCATCACAATTCACCCCTACCCTAAAGCTCGTGCACTTGTTCCAGTCATGGGTAAGCGTAGCATGCAGCCTCATGAGCTTCTCAGAGATCCCCGCTCACATCCCTCTGGCGTATGCGATGGGGCTTGAACTGAAGAGCTGGCCGAGAGACCATGTCTTTCACAGAGTTGACTCAGACCATCTTTGAAAAGAGAAGGGGCTCCTTTCCTTTTCTTTCTTTACACACCGTCAAGACACAGTGGTCAGAAAACGTACAACACCATCATCCTGTACAGTATTAATGAGAGCTAACGGGTCCCAAACCTAAGCCAAAGGGATTTGATGGACACTTTCCAAAAAAGGAAACTGTGTAAATAGGCTGCGTTCTGGAACAACGTGTGTTCTTACTTTTATTTCATTGTCTTTGACAGAGTCATTCGGACAACTGGATACTTGATGTTTACCCTGCACATTAACGCCTGTGTTTATTACTGGGCTTCAACCTATGAAGGATTTGGCACAACCAAGTGGGTGTATAATGGTGAAGGAAACAAGTAGGTTCTCATTTAGAAAAAAATATAGCATGTTCATTTCTCTGAAATTTTTGGTTTCCTTGTGTTTTCTTAAACCAATATTGTTCCAGCTGCAGGTTGCCACCTATTGTTCTGGTGTGCCATCTGTTTGATTCCAAATCATTCTGATACTTTTAGATAGACTATAACTGCCCAAGTGAGTTGCCTAGGCTGCAAGCCTAGAATTGTTGTTGTCATTAGGTGCTGTTAATTCATTATAGAAATGTTGTTGTCGTTAGGTGCTGTTAATTCAGTTCTGACTCATATTGATCACACACATAAGAGAAAGAAACACAGCACAGTCCAACAACATCCTCACAATTGGTGTAGTTCAACCCGTTGTTGCAGCTCCTGTGTCAACCCATCTCTTTGAAGTGCTTCCTCCTTTTCTGGGAATAGACTGCCATATCTGTCTCCCTTAGAGAGGCTGGTGGGATCTACTTACCAACCTTTTGATTAGCATCCAAGTGCTATGTCACTGTGCCACCAGGCATCCTTCACAACCCATTAAGTCAACCAAACTCAAACCCATTGCCTTCAAGTTGATATCAACTCTGAGAGGCCCTCAAAGACAGAGTAGAATTGCCCCATCCCATTTCCAAGGCTGTAAAGCACCGCAGAAGCAGCCTACCATACCTTTCTCTCACGGAGAACACTTAAGCCCCACCAGAGCTCCTCCACAGCTCACTAGGGTGTGATGGAAACATTTTAGTAAGTTGTCATGCTTTTCACCTAAAGAGGGTAGCATTTACTGGAAAATACTCATAGTGTCACGATGTAGGGTTTCTGAAACGGAATCTTTATGGGAGCAGATTACCTCGTCTTCCTCCTGTCGAGTAGTTGGTGGATTTGGTCTGCTGACCTTGAAGTTAGCAGCTCAATATCCAACCCACTAGTATCATTTCATGAGCATTTATTCTGTGTGTGTGTGTGTGTGTGTGTGTGTGTGTGTGTGTGTGTGTGTGTGTGTCCTAGGATGACCCGTGAAGCACATTTCTCAGTCTTGGCATGATCAGAAGGTTTAAAAGTCTCTGCTTTACACAATGGAGTGGTAAGATAACTTTTAATAACTTCAACACTGACTGTTAGTCATGAGCAATGTTAATTCTTTGGAGGGCAGGTGCAGTGGCTAATTAGTTTACCACTGAAGGGTTTTATGGGTTTATGAGTCAGCTATTACTACTAACTCAATTAAACACTTAGAGAATAACAAGGTTCATAAATTAAACTTGACAATTAGGTAGGTAAGCATCTCAAAAATAAGAGAGATCATTTGAAAACTTTAGCGCAGTAGAATCAGAATTTAATAACAGCAGAATTCCACTAGGCTGTTCAATAGTGACAGTTCCTTTTGGAAGATTCAAGGCCTACTATGAACTAGACATCACTTATGTTCTGCTGCAATGAAATGACGATAAGAATACGATAAGGAAATTTCCTTACTGGGAAAGAGAAAATACTAGAATAACTCTCAAGGGCAACTCACAGCAGACTTGGGAAAGAGCAATTCTAGGACGAAGGAAGAGAGACACAATGCCTTACAGAATGACACACTACCTAGAGTGAGTGGGCTTGGGGAGCTCCATGCAGCCTGTATGTTTGTTGGCTTCTTTGCCTAAACTTAAATCTTTTCTTTTGTGTTTTAAAATTGATTTGTTTAAAACACACCCTACAGGCCAGAGAGATAGTGGCCAGGGACTACCATATATTTACCATTTCAATGCCCTCCTTGTTTTCTTAGAGGATCCCTGGTGGTGCAGTGGTTATGAGTTAAGCTTGCCAAGCACAAGGTCAGCAGTTTGAAACCACCAGCCATTCCTTGGCAGAAAGACGGGCTTTCTACTCTCCTACAGAGTAACAGTCTCCGAAGCTCACAAGGTCAATTCTACCCTGTCCTATAGGATCACTGTGCGCTGGCACCGACTCAGTGGCTGTAAGTGTAGGGTTTTAGTGGCTTTCTTATGACGTATTAGTCTGGTAGACATGGCTCAGCCCATGTGAATGAGTGCCATTGAAAGTTTCCCCCATCACCAAACCCCATTGTTTGTATAATTAGTGTCCAGCCACTTAAGAGTTTAATCTGTACAAATCAAAATCAATGCATTGTATTAGTAGCCAACCTATACTTGCAAAATTTCCTTTTTTCAAAGGGTTTTAAATTCTATACCATTGGCTAAATTAACTAAACTCTCAATAGAATTCCCTTATGCCCCAGGGGGATGATTTATAATGAGCCATATCATAAAATAGTAATGATATCTCTAAAGTGAACCAGAAACACATATAATCCATAGATATAAGAATGGATGTTGAGGTCCCACTTAGCTCTGTCCCCAATCTAAGAAAAACTAGTTCTCATGATATGGCCCTGCTCATTGTCCACCCTTATGAAGAGATCACTGAATATATGGATGCTACAACAAAGTGTGGTGAAGAATCCAGATTGTGCCAGGCTCAGAAAGAACAGCATCTGGTACCTTAAAGGTTTGTCTTAAGGCAGGCAGCCATCTAAGTGAGGCATTAACCAAGTCCACATGGAAGAAGCACACCAGCCTGTGTGATCCAAGGATTGTGAATAACAAAATCCAAATCTGAAAGAAGAAATGGTATCAGAGCTTAAATTGTGAGCATCCTGTTTGCAGTAGGCTATCTACGACAGTGAAAACCCAAAATCCATTTGCAGGGTCCCCACATGAATTAAGCCTCTGTTGAATTCCTTCTGACCACAGTCGAGGGATGTGAATAGCCTTGCTGTCAGACAGACAGTATTGCCAATGATGGCAAATGTAGTCAGGTTAAAACGCAGAACCTTGACATTTGCTTTCTCTTTTGACACATTTTAAAGTTGTTTCAGTTTTTAATACTTTATGCTTTTCTGAATGGATTTTGCTTTCTGTTTTGTCTCGTCATTGTGGTTGAGTTTTTGTTTGTTTGCTTACTTCCTTTTTTTTCATGCAAGTTCCCCTATTCATTAACAGTTTTATTAAGGAGTCTCTATTCTCTAGAATCTAGACATATTTTTTTCATACAATACACTTCACATTAATTGAGTAGTAATTGAATTACTTAACTCACATCTATAATACCTATAAATGGCTCTAGAATTACTCTTTTTATTAGCATATTTCCAACACTATATAAATTATTTTTCACTATCATCAGCTATTTTGAATGGTTTTCTGTATTAAAACCCACCTACTCTTCTTAGAGGCATATCTGTAAAGGCAGTGAGTAGACTGACAGTTCCCTAAGGGCACGGCACGGGAGGACCAGCTGAAGTGGGGCAGTGATGGGAATGAGCACAAGAAGAAAGCCTTCTGAAATCGACTGTGGCGACGATTGCACTAAGCCTCTTAGTATAACTGAACAATTAAATTGCATGATTTGTGAAGTATATCCCAATAAAAAGGTACTAATAATAAAATTAAATTGAATAAAACATATTCTTCACTGGTAAGGCTTCATTAACATAACAAAGAAAGCACCCTATCCCCAAAATGGGATTACTCCACAGAATATATATATATATGGTATATAATACTATTACCTGTGGTATATATATATCTATAGATAGATAGATATAGCTATAGATACAGATGTATCATCTAGCTGATTGTAATTCATAGCGACCGAGCTGCCCTTTGGGGTTTCTGAGACTACACTTTTATGGGCGTAGACAGACTCATCTTCCTCCTGGGGAGCAGTTAGTGGATGTGAACCTTGTGTCGGACATCTCAGTGCATAGTCCACTATGCCACCAGGGCTCCTATACTGACCCTATAGGACAAAGTAAAATTGCTTCCCAGGGTTTCAGGGATGGTAAAACTTTATGGGAACAGACTGCCTCTTTTCTCTCCCCTGGAGCAACTGATGGGTTTGAACTGCAAACCTTGTTATTAGTAGCCCAATACATAACCCACGGTGCCACCAATGCTCCTTTCCACATACTTAGAGGTTATGGTTTACAACCAATATTTTGGGGGAACATAATCCAATACATAGCAGACACTGATCGAACTAGTGAAAGAAGTGGCTGGCAATCAACTTGCAAAAACAGCAGTGGACCAAAGCTCCTTAGCGCACACCAGTGGGTGTGTGTGTGTGTGTGTGTGTGTGTGTGTGAGTGTGTGTGTGTGTGTTAACCTTTTCCTAATTAAACGTTGAGGGAAAGTTGCATGTCACCTTTTTTTTTTCAAATGAAATAATTTCTACTTTAACACTATTTGTTTTATGGTTTTATGTAAAACTTATCCTTGTTTTAACTGTCCCGTTGGCCTGTAGTCAATTCTGATACAAATGAACCTATAGGAAAGAGTAGAAATGCCCCTGTGGGTTTCTGAGACTCTAGATCTTTTCAGAAATAGAAAGCCTCTTCTTTCTCCCAAGGAGTGGCTGGTGATTTTGACTTGCTGACCTTGTGGTCAGAGGCACAATGCATAACCCACTGTGCCACCAGACCTCCACTTGGTTTAACTCGGAGCATGCTGAAAGCATTTCCCCTTAAGATTTCAGAGTACCTATTCAATAGCTCAGGCATTAAATCAGGCAGGTAGAAAGGGTCTCCTTGAAAAGATATACTCATTGGTGGTGTGGATATTAGAGATGGACACACTTGGCTAATTAAGGTAATCCTAGAAAATCAATAAGATGCCATCTAATTAAATTACAAATCTTATCTTCAGCTGTGCCTGTCTGTGTGCGAGACAGGAGTGGGAAGAGAAGCCTAAAATAAACCTCAAATCATCAGGGCAGAAAACTTCCAATTAACATAGTACCTTGAAAAAGAAACAGTTCCAGGCTACCACTTCAGGTCTGGAAAACCATGTCAGAATTTCACATTTCATCGCTATTTTTTAAATACCCATAAATAAGAAAACGAGAATGAAAATATTCTTATGTTTGTTTTCCACTAACACTACAATGCCCACACTATCATGATCTTGCAGGAGACACTAACCTTATGTGTGTAATGCAATTGGGCT